ACAATCTAACTTAACAATGAAATATATCAATAACACAATCTAACTTAACAATCAGATATTTCAATAACACAATTTAACTCAACAATAAAAAAGATATTTCAATAACACAATCTAACTTAACAATAAGATATTACAATAACACTATTTAACTTAACAATAAGATATTTCAATAACACAATTTAACTCAACAATAAGATATTTCAATAACACAATTTAACTCAACAATAAAAAGATATTTCAATAACACAATTTAACTTATCAATAAGATATTTCAATAACACAATTTAACTTAACAATAAGATATGTCAATTACACAATTTAACTTATCAATAAGATATTTCAATAACACAATTTAACTTAACAATAAGATATTTCAATAACACAATTTTACTTAACAATAAGATATTTCAATAACACAATTTAACTTAACAATAAGATATCTTAATAACACAATTTAACTTAACAATAAGATATTTCAATAACACAATCTTACTTAACAATAAGATATTTCAATAACACAATCTTACTTAACAACAAGATATTTCAATAACACAATTTTACTTAACAATAAGATATTTCAATAACACAATTTAACTTAACAATAAGATATCTTAATAACACAATTTAACTTAACAATAAGATATTTCAATAACACAATCTTACTTAACAATAAAATATGTCAATAACACAATTTAACTTAACAATAAGATATTTCAATAACACAATCTTACTTAACAATAAGATATTTCAATAACACAATTTAACTCAATAATAAGATATTTCAATAACACAATTTAACTTAACAATAAGATATTTCAATAACACAATTTAACTCAACAATAAAAAAGATATTTCAATAACACAATCTAACTTAACAATAAGATATTACAATAACACTATTTAACTTAACAATAAGATATTTCAATAACACAATTTAACTCAACAATAAGATATTTCAATAACACAATTTAACTCAACAATAAAAAGATATTTCAATAACACAATTTAACTTATCAATAAGATATTTCAATAACACAATTTAACTTAACAATAAGATATGTCAATTACACAATTTAACTTATCAATAAGATATTTCAATAACACAATTTAACTTAACAATAAGATATTTCAATAACACAATTTTACTTAACAATAAGATATCTTAATAACACAATTTAACTTAACAATAAGATATTTCAATAACACAATTTTACTTAACAATAAGATATTTCAATAACACAATTTTACTTAACAATAAGATATCTTAATAACACAATTTAACTTAACAATAAGATATTTCAATAACACAATCTTACTTAACAATAAGATATGTCAATAACACAATTTAACTTAACAATAAGATATTTCAATAACACAATCTTACTTAACAATAAGATATTTCAATAACACAATTTAACTCAACAATAAGATATTTCAATAACACAATTTTACTTAACAATAAGATATTTCAATAATACAATTTAACTTAACAATAAGATATCTTAATAACACAATTTAACTCAACAATAAGATATTTCAATAACACAATTTAACTTAACAATGAGATATTTCAATAACACAATCTAACTTAACAATAAGATATGTCAATAACACAATTTAACTTAACAATAAGATATGTCAATAACACAATTTAACTTAACAATAAGATATTTCAATAACACAATTTTACTTAACAATAAGATATCTTAATAACACAATTTAACTTAACAATAAGATATTTCAATATCACAATCTTACTTAACAATAAGATATGTCAATAACACAATTTAACTTAACAATAAGATATTTCAATAACACAATCTTACTTAACAATAAGATATTTCAATAACACAATTTAACTCAACAATCAGATATTTCAATAACACAATTTTACTTAACAATAAGATATTTCAATAATACAATTTAACTTAACAATAAGATATTTCAATAACACAATTTAACTTAGCAATAAGATATCTTAATAACACAATTTAACTTAACAATAAGATATTTCAATAACACAATTTAACTTAACAATAAGATATTTTAATCTTAACAATAAGATATTTCAATAACACAATTTAACTTAACAATAAGATATTTCAATAATACAATTTAACTTAACAATAAGATATTTCAATAACACAATCTAACTTAACAATAAGATATTTTAATCTTAACAATAAGATATTTCAATAACACAATTTTACTTAACAATAAGATATTTCAATAATACAATTTAACTTAACAATAAGATATTTCAATAACACAATTTAACTTAACAATAAGATATCTTAATAACACAATTTAACTTAACAATGAGATATTTCAATAACACAATCTAACTTAACAATAAGATATTACAATAACACAATTTAACTTAACAACAAGATATTACAATAACACAATTTTACTTAACAATAAGATATTTCAATAATACAATTTAACTTAACAATAAGATATTTCAATAACACAATTTAACTTAACAATAAGATATTTCAATAACACAATCTAACTTAACAATAAGATATTACAATAACACAATTTAACTTAACAATAAGATATTTTAATCTTAACAATAAGATATTTCAATAACACAATTTTACTTAACAATAAGATATTTCAATAATACAATCTAACTTAACAATAAGATATTTCAATAATACAATTTAACTTAACAATAAGATATTTCAATAACACAATTTTACTTAACAATAAGATATTTCAATAATACAATCTAACTTATCAATAAGATATTTCAATAATACAATTTAACTTAACAATAAGATATTTCAATAACACAATTTAACTTAACAATAAGATATCTTAATAACACAATTTAACTCAACAATAAGATATTTCAATAACACAATTTAACTTAACAATAAAATATTTTAATCTTAACAATAAGATATTTTAATCTTAACAATAAGATATTTTAATCTTAACAATAGGATATTTCAATAATACAATCTAACTTAACAATAAGATATTTCAATAACACAATCAGACTGACAATACAGAAAAGATTTTATCATTTTTTTTTGTATGTTTTTAGGATATAGTGGATTCTTCAGGCAATTTAACTGTAAATGAATTCAGGATACCACATTTAGGACAATCTTCAGTTTATCATGAGGTAAGTTTCTGTATTTTAAAGTCCAGTAAACCCAGCAATAAATGGGTTCATATAATCTGGGAAAGATCAATACCAAAAGGTCTGACTAAGGACCGGCTGGAAGATGGAGTCTTTGTAAACTTCTGAATCTCTGTGAATTGTAGTTGTCAATGTCACTTTTTATACATGTATATGGTGTCTGAGGAGATTGAATAGTCCAAATTAATGTTTCTTTGTAGCCTGTTAGTATGAGTACCCAGTCTCTCACAGAAAGTGCTTTATCAAGGTATAATAATACTGATGAAAGATGGAGAAGTGGACCTCATCCTCAATACGAAAGCATCAATGGCCAAAATAGGTAATTTTCAATTTAATTATATTTTGTGCACTGTGCTTTGTTTAATTTAAAGGTATCTAATCCAGAGCTTGTTTTTACATACCCACAAGAAGTTT